GTGTGTGTGTGTGTGTGTACACAGACTGTATAACTAACTTTGGGTGAGTTGTCCCTGGGTGGTGCAAATGGTTAACATGCTTGGCAGCTAACCAAAAGGTTGGTGGTTCAAGTCTATGCAGAGGCACCTCAGAAGAAAGGCCTGAAGATCTACTTCTAAAAACTTGGCCATTGAAAACCCTAGGGAGCACAGTTCTACTCTGCAACACATGGGGTCTCCATGAGTCAGAATCAACACAACAGCAGCTGGGCTTGGGTGAAGTTACTGAACTTTGTGAGCTCGGGTTTCCTCGTCCATAAAATGGAGATAAACCCTCTCCCTCTAAGAAAGGTTGTGAGGATTCCAGGGATAACACACTGTACAACGCTGAGGACAGTGCCTGTCTCCCATCCTGCCTCTGTGGGGGCCATTATCTGAGCACAGCTGTGGTCCAAGCTCCTCAGCCCCAACCACATGAAGAACATGAAGCAGGGGAGAGCAACAATATGGGTCAGCAATCATAACCGGAGCGCATCTCAGTGTTGCGGAAACTCTGTCCAGGAAACCCCGGCCAGAGCTCGAACAGAGTAAACTGGCCAAACCAGCATCTAAACAGTAATGAGAAAAGCCACCAGCAGCCACCCCACAGCAAAAAGTGGAAAGAACACAGAGGGCAGGGCAGGACACTCTGTGTTTATGTTTTTCTGCCCAAAGAGCTATAAATTTGTAACTTATTAAATAGCACATGGTGAGTCTGTCACTGGCAGCGCTGGGAAGAGGAACATTCTCCCCCACCTCCCCTTTTTTTTTTTTAAGACCAAAAAACAAAGTCACAGCAGAGGCTCTGCCCCTTCTGGCCCTGCCACAGGACAGACCGTAAACTCTCCCTTGTGTTAAGGACCAGGAGGCTCACAGCTGAAAGCACTCTCGGGAGAAAAATAAAAACAAGAGGCCTGGCCTTTGTGTCCACCCTAGCTAAGGAAAACAGCTGACGGGCAGTGTGTGGGCAGCCATGCAGACAGCTGATGGAGCCTGAGCGCTGAGGCGAATTCCTCTCCCCTACTCATACCCCATTCCTCCCACCCCAGGCTCTGGTCAGCCAGACAGCGCTGGCCTCCTGGGACCTTAGGCCAAGGAAGTTGGGCAGCCCAGATCCAAGCAACTTGAGAGCCTACAGTGGAAGTCACAGAAGTTACAGGTGGCAGCCGTCACCCGCCTGCGGCCCCTCCTCAGGAAAAAGCCCTCTTGGTACACAAGAGTGAGGACTTGGGCTTCCAGCCGTGGTTTTGTCATTTAGTGGCTGTACAGTCTCAGGCCAACTTTCTTAGCCTCAGTTTTCTCATTCTGTAAAAGGCAGCAAGTAATGATAGCAGCGGCCTTGTTGTTAGCTGCCGTCGAGTCCATTCCGACTCACGGCAACCCCGTGTGCACAGAGGAGAACTGCTCCGTAGGTTTTCGAGGCCATGACCTTTCGGAAGCAGATCATCAGACCTATCTTCTGAGGTGCCTCCGGGTGGGTTCGAAGCACCAACCTTTCGGCTAGTAGTCGAGCACTTGACCATTCGTGCCACCAAGGGACACCAGCAGTTCTTATAAAAGAGTTCTTATAAAGGGCTATTGAGAGAATGAAACAAGTTGAGGTATGACGAAGTATCCATAAGCAGAAAATTTAAATTCCTACAATCCTCTCTGCCACTGTACTCTCTTTCCTTCCAGAGACTATAATCCACTCTCTGATCCTAAATGCGAGACCGTCAGAGGACAGGAATTCTGGACTTCGACTGCGAACTCTACAAAGACCTTTCTCAGTCCTTCAAACAGCACCGGGACTGTCTAGAAGCAACACAACCACATCAGCATTTCAGAAACTGTAACTCGGCTCCCCAGTCCCCACTGAGAAAGCACTGAGGCTTTCAGATCCAGATTCAAAGACTAGCCCCCAGCCTCCTTTCAGCTTAGTTGTTTTTATGTGAAAAAAAATACCTGCCTGGAAGCCATGCCAACCTTGAGTGCGTTGGAAAAATAGGTGCCAAGTCTGACACAAAGGCAGAACTATGCTTAGCAGTCACCACACTCTGCAAAACAGGCAGGACCCTCCACTACCCACAGCTCCAGGATCTCTCAAGGGGCATCCTGATCCCAAAAGGAAGCTGTCAGGGAGCTGTCAAGCCCGAGTCCTTCCCCCTGCCCTCTTGGAACTCCAAAACTAAACCAAACCCGTTGCCATCCAGTCGATTCTGATTCATACCCACCCTATAGGACAAGAGTAGAACTGCCCCACAGGGTTTCCAAGGCTGTAAATCTTTAGGGGAGCAGACTGCCATATTTTTCTCCTGCAGAGCGACTGGTGAGTTTGAACCGCTGACCTTCAGTTAGCAGCTGAGCACTTAATCGCTGAGCTACCAGGGCTCCGACTTGGCACTCCAGTGCCTACAAATAGCCAGCCTTAACTTAGTGCCATTACTCGTGTCTGATGAATTTACTCCTCAGAGCCTGAGACAGAGGAGGCATCAGTGGTCACACAAGCCACCCAGACAAGAGAGGGAGAACGAGGGTCCTACAGAGAAGAAACTTCTTTTTTTGCCTCCTCAACACCGTAGCTCAGAGCTCTGCAGCTTCAGGTGTGAAGGAGAGGAAGAGAAAGTGAAGCTTCCCCTCTAGAGTTCCCGCCATTCAAGGCATTCCTAGAACCCTGCACCAACTCCCTTGGGTTCAATGCCTAGTTCCAGGAGAAACTTTCTCCTGCTCTAACACCAGATGGAGCCAGGGGAGGGGGTGCGCTGAAAAGAGTAGTAGTCTTAGGGCTGCAATAACTAAAAACAGTAAAACTCTGTTCTGGGCATCCTGCCCTCCTTACCTGTATGGGTTCCAGAAGAGCCTGATGCTGGGGTGCGGGTGGGGGTGGGGGTCCTGCCAGTCTGGACAAGTTCATGGCCATACCTTGGGGCCCACTTCCCACCTTATTCCTCTGGCATTTCATCAGGGTTTGGGGTGGGAGGAGAGTCCTGTCTCCCCAGTTTCCCCTTCCAGGTTTAGGCTAGTCTGTGATATGAAGGAGGAGGGGCTGGTCTGTGAATTGAGGGGCTGATTAAGAGTGGGAGGGCAGTCAGGGAGGTAGTGGGCTCTGATCCTGGAGTGACTGGTCCACGAAACGGGGTGAGCAGACCTGAAGTGGGAGGTTAGTCGGGCAGAGTGGGAGACTTGTCCTTGAAACAGGGGTGTGGTCGTGGGAAGCTCATCCTTAACTTGTGAATCTGATTTGTGAAATGAAAGGGGTGGGCTCCTAGGTGGAGGGGATATCCCTGAAGTAGGGATGCTAGTCTGTGAAGTGAGGGTGGCCCTCGAAGGGACTGGAAATTAGGAGCAACGCAAGAGATTCGGCCGCTGCTCCCCGAGGTGGGTGGTAGATTTGCGGGCTGGGGTGGGGTCAGTGAAGTGAGGGTCCCATTGCTGAGGAAGTAGACTGGTCCAGGAAGTGGGGGTCCCGCCCCTGCGGTGCACGGGGTGTGTCCCTGAGGTGTGGGCCAGTCCCCGTGGCTGGTCTGGGAAATAGGTGTGGGTCTCCGAGATAGGGGGTTCCGGAGGTGGGAGGCGTCCCTGAGGCGGGGGGTGGCGGCTGTGGGGACGACGGCGGGGCCGGCCTGGCCCGGGACTCAGTCCCAGCCGGGATCCCGGCCCCGCGGAGCCCCGGGCGAGAGGACAGGCGCCGGTGCCGGAGCTGCCAGGGGTGGGATCCCTCGGCCCCCACCGCCCGCTCGCGCCCGCCCGACACGGGGCCGCGCGCCCCTCGCTGCTTCCTCCCTCGGCCTCCCGCTCACTCACCGAGGTCGTCCATTGCGGGGCCGTAGGCGCCGGGACCCGGCTCAGCCTCGCACTCGCTACCCGTCCCGGGGCCGCTCCTTTCCGCCCCGCAACTTTTCTGCCGCGAGCCTCGGCCCGAAACGGAACGCGC